TCACGCTTAGGTTTTTGGGTAATCGAAATGTACTAAGGATGGACGATGATTTTGGAGAACATCAGTTATTTGAGCATTTCAAATAACTATGCGATAGGAAAGCAATGTCCAATTCGCCGCCAAGTTGTGCACACTTACTTAGCCGTTCCATCCTTGTCCTGAGCACCGCGACGAGCCTTCCTTTATTGGTATTTCCGAGCTCGCTGCGTATGACCCGTTCCAACTTTCCAGTGCTTAGCAGTGTTTTCTATGCAGTGCGTCCTAATTTTTGGGAAGAGAAAAAGTCGACGAGGACCATTTCAACCAAATAGTTTTGCTTGCTGAGACTACAGCATTCTCGATCACATCACCGTTCAAAGCGGTACGTTCGGTCGGGCGTTGTCGTCGTGAAGCTTGAATTGTGGCCTTGCTTGGACAGTCGTTTCCTGTCATCACTATCTTGGCCGTCATCATCTTTTTGAGTGATGAGATGTACGTACCTCACTGTGATCGCCCCACCCCTTGGAGGATGTCGATGCTGTTGATACGGTTTGTGTTGAGGAAATCTTCACGTCCTGCCTCCACCGGCATTCTTCCACTCTTTTCTCTCGCTTCTCCCATCGCTGGCTTTTGGTCAGCGGGTCGTTGAAATTGGTCAAGTCCATCAGTGATCACCAGTGCACCCGACCTGATCTGTTCGAGCACCCCCTGCGCTTCTCCTCGCGTGCATTCTACTTATCTCGTGTTAGACAGTGGGGTCCCCACGAGCGCCACACCTCTCAATGTTCGAGTTGTCACGTCACGCTTCTTACTGTAGCGATTTGCACTCGATCTTTTAGAAACCACGACGCGATCGCCGATTCTAAGAAAGTCATGCCTGACCTCCCGAGCTGTCCTCTGTTGGCGCTTGACGACAGCCGTGCGTGCCTGTTTGGACGTGTCTGGAAGAGTTTTGTTAAAGTGCTGGTTTGATCCACTTTAAACCGCCTTATCCAGCTGCATACAGCATGTAAAAAACCCACTGTGTCCGTGTCCGTGTGTGTGTGTCCGTGTGTGTGTTGTGTGTGTGTGTGTGTGTTGTGGTGTCCGTGTGTGTCGTGTGTGTGTGTGTGTGTGTGTGTGTGTGTGCGCGTGCGTGCGTGCGTGCGTGCGTGCGTGCGTGCGTGCGTGCGTGCGTGCGTGTTTTGTCAAAGGCTGGTGTACCTTGGCCGGCCCTCTCCCAGACATAAGATGAGCTCGAATAACTCCCTGCTGCGAAGGGCGCCACGTGGCGTCCGCTGTGCTGACAGCCCTGCTTTAGCACGAGGCTCGAGGGATAAATATTCCATGAAATGGTCACCATGGCGCTTCTAAGCGGTGGAATGACACCTTTTCAACTTTGCTCGCACATTCTTTGCAATGAGAGTTTTTGTTTCAAGCCGGTGTTCCGCATTCATTTTACCGCTGTTTGTCTGATATGTCGTCGTTCTGGAGCCGAACTGTCCTTCAGCAAATATTCTAGCTCCAAGTGAGTCGTTTACTCAAGCGGTAAGTTTTGGAGCGATGCATATGTCATTAAACTTCGGATCGAGGAGCCTCGCATAGCCCAGTAGACAATCCTTTTTCAGGTCGAGGAAGCCCTGTTTCTCTACCGAGAGGCCCATCATTCTAGATCAGGAGACCACTTTATGAGCTAGGTAGACCTGCTCGGAATCAAGAGGCTCTGTTTCGTGTTAAGGTTTCTTTGCGAGCTCGGGAGGCCTGTGCACATCAAAAGGACGTGCTCTTGATCAGGGTCAGGATCAGGCCCTGCTATTTATGAGGTGGCTACTGTTCTGGAAAATAAATGTCATGGTGTGATATCGCAGTCCATCACCTGATATCGCAGTTTTACATAATTATTGAGACAAGGTATTAGTTTTATTGATGGAACAGTTGTTCGGACCACCATCCTCGTCTGCTGCTTTCGTGCGTACAGGTGCATACTGACACACCATCCTCGTCTGCTGTGTCCGTGTGTACAGGTGCGTATTGACGCACCATCTCGTCTGTTGTGTTCGTGCGTACAGGTGCATACTGGCACACCATTCTCCTCTGCTGAGTTCGTCTGTACAGGTGCATACTGACACACCGGACGAGGATGGTGCGTTCGTGCGTACAGGTGCATACTGACACACCATCCTCGTCTGGGGTGGTGGTACGGCGCAAGCGCATACTACCACCCCAGATGCGGATGGTAGTACGAATGTTTACTCTCATCATCCGTAATACCGATGCCCAATAGGCGAGACAACAGCAGGCCCTCAGTCGCGGCTACGAGAGCCTGGTGGTTATGCTGGTGACCAGCCGCCACTCTGACTGCCGGCTGGGCTCTGTGTGTGGCAGCTTTTGCTTCCTCTAGCCGTGAAGACTGTAAGCGTCCTGCACTCCCGTGCAGCGGCCAGACCAAACACCACGCTGCCGATACCTGGTGACCAGCCGCCACTCTGACTTTGCCAGCCGGGCTCTGTGTGTGGCAGCTTTTGCTTCCTCTAGCCGTGAAGACTAAGCGTCCTGCACTCCCGTGCAGCGGTCAGACCAAACACCACGCTACCGACGAGCCACTCGCCCTTCTGTCTGGTGAGCGCCGCGGGCGAACGCCTACTGGGGATTGGGCCTGACCGCGGACCGACGGGGAGGCGGGGCACGGTGCCGGTGTCAGAGGGCGTCCCTCCTCTCGTGACCCAGGTTACGACCCGTGGGTCTGGGCTGCGGCCCGAGCCCAGCGGTGGCCGGGAGGCGCGGCGCGTCTGGTTAGTGGGCTGTGGCGACGGCCGGCACACGGCGGCCGGGAGGCGCGGCGCGTCTGGTTAGTGGGCTGTGCCGACGGCCGGCACACCCGTGCGCCGATGGACTCAACGGCGGCGGAGGGTTCCAAAAACAAACAGCTCCCGCGAGGGATAATGGGCGGTCAAGGACAGTACCAGGGCCGCGGGCATGGCGCTGGAACAGGCACCACCGGCAGCCATTGTATCGTCTGTGTTCGATGATGTGTACGCCTGAGCAACTTTACAGAATAGATTTGATAAATTCGGCCTCTTTTTCTTTAACTGCGTGAAACCATAGTCATTAGTTGTACAGACGTTATCTGTATGAGCTATGACGGCCGAGCCGGGACGTTAGTTAGACGCTCAAGTTAGAACTCCTATCACTTTCCAAATACGACTGGTTTTACCTGCGACTCCGCTCGTGAACAGCGAAGTCTAAACGTTCCGCGCAATCTGTCCTCCGTCGCATTCTCGGTTTCTGTCCCGCAAGTAGAGCCAGAGATGGCACCGTGGGGCCGAGGGACAGGATGTCGTCTCTGTTCGGTTTCCGTCCCGCAAGTGGAGCCAGAGATGGCACCGTGGGGCCGAGGGACAGGATGACGTCTCTGTTCGGTTTCCGTCCCGCAAGTGGAGCCAGAGATGGCACCGTGGGGCCGAGGGACAGGATGTCGTCTCTGTTCGGTTTCCGTCCCGCAAGTGGAGCCAGAGATGGCACCGTGGGGCCGAGGGACAGGATGTCGTCTCTGTTTGGTTTCTGTCCCGCAAGTAGAGCCAGAGATGGCACCGTGGGGCCGAGGGACAGGATGTCGTCTCTGTTCGGTTTCCGTCCCGCAAGTGGAGCTAGAGATGGCACCGTGGGGCCGAGGGACAGGATGTCGTCTCTGTTCGGTTTCCGTCCCGCAAGTGGAGCCAGAGATGGCACCGTGGGGCCGAGGGACAGGATGTCATCTCTGTTCTCCCTGTCGCGTCACAAAAAAACAATTACTTGATTATTTTACCCATGCTGTAAGTTATGTGATGCATATGTTATTGAAATTCAGATCGAGGAGGCCCGCACAAGTGAGGTAGGCGATTCTTTTTCAGGCTGAGGAGGCCCTTTGTTACCAAGAAATTCATCATTCTAGATCGGGGGACCACTTTACGAGTCAGGTAGACCTGCCCAGGATCAGGGGGGTCTATTTTGTGTTAAGGAGGTCTGTTTAGGGGAAAATGCGGCTTCTTTTTTTTGTCGTTCATCAATAATCCAAATTGACGAAGAAGTGGGAATGTTTTCCCCTTTGAAATGTGAAGATACTGCATATATGGTTTGGAGGTGTAGGAATAGGTTTCTGTAGGGGTTTTCTTCCAGTCTGAACTCCGGAAGCCCATTGGAAAGTTTCGCATAGCGAGCCCTTGCGACGAGGCTCTATGTTGTTTGGAGGCCCCGCCTGGAGATCCCCCCCCCCCCCGCTCTCAAATCCATGGCGTCGTTCTTGGGCAAGGTAGTCGTTTGCGGCTTCTGCCTCCTGTTTCCTGCTATTTTTGGTTATCCTTGGCAGGAATCACCGTTTCCAGAAATGTCGCGGAAAATGGTTGTCGGGCGTCGCCGGCTGTTCACCTGGATGATGGCAGCTGATGTCTGATTTTGCGGCTGTGAAGCGTCGCTGAATGCTTCGGTGCCTTGTGTGAAGTGGGACTGAGCGCGTCCAGTAGTAGCGATAGCCTCAGACTGAGACTGGACAATGACACCCGTCACACACAATGTCTTGTGACAGGCTGGCGCTTGTCGACGCCGTGGAGTGAATTGAACTCAGTGGCCCCGCACTGCTGGGCGGGTTGGACGGCTGGGACATGCCGAGATATACAGTGCAGGTGGCCTGCCAGGCGGTGAAGCCGCGCACCGAACTCGTGACAGATACAACACACAAAAGTGGGTGAAAAATGACCCATGCAGTGGACGCCCCCCCCCCCCCCCCCCACACACACACCAACCCAAGTGACCCAGGTTGGCAGGGACAGTAACGGGCATTGTCTGGTCGCCCTTTGGCACGGCCGTCGGGACAGGCAAAGGCAGCCGAGACAGGGACGGCGGGATCGCAGGGGAAAGCTTATGAATGGGCTTAGGGTAGGGCGTAGGACCCTGCAACCCTACGGACCAGTCTTGGTTCACTTGTAGGCGGCCAGTCCTCAGTAGAAGCCATGGCTTAGTCCCACGTTCGTCCGTTGCTTCGCTTCACTTGTCAAAATGTCAATGATCGTAATTTTTTATTATTTTGCATTCGTTTCCTCCGCTTTCCCGTTTTTGCATCCGTCGCTGGTCTTTTAAGTCAACGAATTGGTTATGCAAAAGGCTAGTGAGAGATGAGATTTGCATGTCCACGAATACCCAGGAAAATAGGCAGTAGGCCTACAGCTGGCAGACAACTTTAACTGACAGGCCGTGTAAGATCGTGGGAAGACACGTTCTATAGCTAACTTGATAAAGCAGCTGCAATTTAAACTACGATACAAAACCATTGTTCACCAAAGGATGGCTGCACAATAATGAAATAGCAAATGGCATATGCCCATTATGCATGAATAAGGCACCTGTTTGCCCATGTTGAGAAATTATCGGCGTCTCTGGGCAGATCCGTGCGAAATGTTTCTATGATAGGCGCAAATAATATTTTGGTAGCAGACAAGTCAGTTGCGGTGCTCAATCAAGGCATCCCCGTGGCATAATGGCTAAATATATCACTTGGAAAGCACTAAAGGGAGAGAAACTGTTGACAGTCAGTGGATAAATGTCGTAATTACTCCCACCAGTGATTACAAGGTCCAGAACAGCAACAAAACACTCACACCAACTTGTGCAACACGGATCGTCTCGTGGCCGCGGGTGTCGCTGAGACTACGCGGCGCTGTTGTACTGGCCGCTGTCTTCGGACGGCTGTGGGGGCGCCGCCCTGGCATTGTGCACAACGACCAGACCGGGGTCGTCTTGCCAGACCGGGTCCCGCCTGACGCGCCATCGCGCCAATGCCGAATCCTTTGTAACGTAAGCAGACGACCTCGGTGCACTGCACCTACAGGAACGAGGTCGGAACGCGGCTGCTCCGCCCCTGTAACCCCGAGCGGCGGTCCGTCGGCGTAGGTGTGTCGCAGTCGGGGCATCTGTCGGCGCCTGCCTTCTGCACGGGGCGTCGCATCCTGGCGCCTCCTCACCAGTGACCCGGCACTGGTGCCGATGGCGCCTGGTGCGAGCGCCGATGGTGCTCGTCCTGCCTTACTCAGGGCTAAAGCAGCCGTTTGGTTGTTTGTCGGTGTCTAGTACCGCTGAGGCAGTTATTGGCTCGAGATGAGGACCGAAGCCAGTGAAAGATCCAGCGGTGGGTCTCGAACCCGGATGTCGCGATTACTGTCCAATGTACGCGACCACCCGGTTACTGCGTCCCGTTGCCTGGCCTCGGGCAGATGTATTTAGCATGGGCGAGGGGACCCTTGCAGCACTGATCTCACCTTGATTGAGTGTATTTCTCGGAGACGGCGGGCTTCCCTTACACCGGTCAGGCTCTCGGTGCATGTGCGCCATGTGGACAGAGAGCGTCCCCTCACACCGATCTGGTCCTCGGCAGGTGTGTTTCACATGGACGACGAGGAGGGAGCGCCGGCCGCCCGCGAGGACGGCGTGAGAGCCAGGAGCGAGTGTCGGTGGCGTCTGATGACGTCACGGAGACCAGCGAGCCCTCCAGACCCAGGTCAGTGTACCCTGTTTACCCAGGTGAGTTCACTCCTCGGTCCCAGGTCAGTGCACTCCTCGGTCCCAGGTCAGTGCACTCCTCGATCCCAGTCAGTGCACTCCGCGGTCCCAGGTAACGCACTCCCGCGGTCCCAGGTCAGTGCACTCCGCGGTCCCAGGTCAGTGCACAGTTATGTTAGGTTTATTGAGTGGTGACCTGAGATCAGCGAGTGTGGGCCTCGGGTGACTGAGTTGTGACAACATCTCAGTGCGCATGATATCACCCTCATTCCACCCTGGTGTGTGTAACGGAGCTGCGGTGGTCAGGCAGGCGACCAATTCTCGGCATCACTACCGGTGAGATGCTGCAGAAATGCATTCCCCCCCCCCCCCCCATTAAATACCGGTTATTATGTTATGCATCCCAGGTTTGTGTCATCGTGTGTTATTCTTACAAATACCTAACCAACGATTAATTGTCTCAGTAGTTCCTTACGTGACATTCGGAAGCGCAAATTGCAAGAGAGTGCTGATTGCAGTTGGACTGCCGCCTGAAGGCGCCCGGCGGGCAGGATGTTGCATGACGACACGGCAGAGGACGGCCGTTGCCGACGTCGTGCCCACATGGGGATGACGTGAATCAGATGCGTGTCCCGGGCGCTCTGTTGGTGACGGCGGTCGTGGAGCGAGTGTATCGCACAGATGCATTGACCTTGAGTGCCCCCTCCGAGTACACTCAGAGGGGGTACGGAGGGAGTTGAAAGGCACTGGTTTTGATGCCACGTTGTCGAAAGTCGAAGTTCCGTTGAAGGTATTGTTGCGCTATTTGTGAAAGTTTTTCGTGCAAAGGACATGCTGCGTATTGCGTTGGTATGTACTGACTGGGGTTAAATGCGAACCCAGGCATGCCACAGCTTCTGAAGCTGGTTGCTCATAGAAAGATGAGATGTTAGTAAGGCATCACCGGACTGTAAGTGCCCGTTGTGTGGCACTGGCTTCTCCTAAGACGTGAAGATCTTGCCCCGGCCGCGTGCATCTGACCACAACTGGCCACCGCCAGTGACTCGGCAAAAAATCAGAATAATTCGAGCTCTGGAACGCTGAGCTTCCGTTGCGTTGTCACGGTGAACGGCGGTACCCTGGCCGACGGCATCGGGAGCCCTTCATTGACGGCGGTTGCAACTGACGTAATAGCTTACCCGCACGTGCGGCGTCACATACGGCGTCACGTGTCGCCTCACGTGACGATGGGCCGTGACAATGCAGGTCAATGTTGGCCAGGTAGCTGGACGAGACCATGGGTATAAATCGTTGCATTGCCGCGCTCAGTCCATTAACGTTCGAACACGCTCGGTATTGGTTCCACGAAAGCCTGCAGCGGCATCCTCGCACATGCATCCATGCATCATCCTCGCACATGTCTCGGGAAATCCTGCAATCATCATCTTGTTAGAGGTTGGATGTGGTATGAGTCTGCCGTGGTACGACGCAATTTGGCCCACTTTTGGATAAGGTTGCAAACTTACTATGGACATACTGCTACCTTTTCGCTGCCTTCGACGCCACTGCAGTGGCGTCGGAGGCGACGCCCACTTCAGTGACGCCACTGCAGCGGAGGGGCCAGTGGCACTGGCAAGAGCGTTTGGACGAGCTTCAGAGACGATGAAGCGCCACGAGGCGTACAGACACGCGATTCCAAGCGGGCGCGACTTGGTCGAGCTTGAGGCTGCTAAGGCCGCAAATCGTCTGTCCAGGGCAGACAAGAAGCACATCCCCGAAGTGACCACTCTATCGTCCAGAAGGCCGGTGGAGGCCTCCACTGTATCCAGACCGCCGGTAGAGGCCCGCCGATGGGCCTTCCGCCGCCGCCAACCCGGGGCTGGAGATGCTGGCATAAATCGCACCCCATCCGGTCCTCCGTCTCCATGTAACGTCGGGAGGTCCAGGACTTGACCCAGGGTGGGGCACGACCCCACGGAGCTGGTCCGTATCTCTCGGACTGCGACGCCTCGTCCTGCAACTGGTACAGCCGAGTTATTTTTAAAGCCGGCCTGGTTTTGTCTTGTTCACGTCCCTACTACCCTTTTTATGTGCACTTTTACAGGACGTTTTTACAGTGGAAATGTAGAGGAGTAAGGGTGAATACCCTAGGTCACCAGGCTGTCGTCAGCAGACCCCCTTCCTGCAGTCGTTTTCCTCTAGGATATCATGCATCTGTCCTCTTTGGTCTCTGCCCGGCAATAGTGCGTTCAAGTGGCTTCTGTCCCTTCCATCCTTCCCCCGTCAGCGGGGTATCCTGTCTGTGTCCTCTCGGGCACTCTCCGTCAAAAGCTGCGCTAGTGGTCCACTGTCCCTCCCAGGAAGTGTATCATGGCCCCGGTCGTCTTTGTTCTCTGCCCATCAAACGTGTGTCATGTGCCCCCTGTCCCTCCGAGCCTTCTCCGTCAGTGGGGTATCATGCTTCTGTCTCCTTCTACCTCTCCATCAGCAGAGGAATCAGGTGGTCCTCTGGTTCCTCTCCGTGACCTCTCAGTCAGTTAGAGAATCACCGCGGGCCTCTGTTCCCTACGAGGCCCCTCCGTCAGTGGTACATCAGGCGGCCTCTGTTCCCTTTCGTGGCCTCTTCGTCAGTATCACGTCACACGACCTCTGTTCCCTTCGGGGGGCTCTCCGTCAGTAGTGCATTATGCGGCCTGTGTGCCCTTCGGGACCCTCTCCGTCAGTATCACATCACACGAACTCTGTTCCCTTCGGGGCCTCTCCGTCAGTAATGCATTGCGCGGCCTGTGTGCCCTTCGGGGCCTCTCCGTCAGTATCACATCACACGACTCTGTCCCTTCGGGGCCTCTCCGTCAGTAGTGCATTATGCGGCCTGTGTGCCCTTCGGGGCCTCTCCGTGAGTATCAATCACACGAACTCTGTTCCCTTCGGGGCCTCTCCGTCAGCAGTGCATTATGCGGACTGTGTGCCCTTCGGGGCCCCTCCGTTAGCAGTGCATCATGCGGCCTCTGTACCTTCCAGGATCTCTCCGTCAGTTGTGGATGAACTGTCTGCAGTCCCCTTCTGGTGTTTGTCTCCGTGGCAAGTTGTTTCGTCTGGCCAATGTGAGCACTTTTGCGGTGCCGTCTGTTGTCAACAGGGGCTGTCGCGAGTGCAAATGAATGTCATGCACGATCAGTCGAGTTACGTAAGTGACCCACGTACAAGATGGGTGACGCACGCAGGCGACACCCGTGCGATTGTGCCCTCCGGCGACTGGGGTTCTTGACGTGGCGATCACTCGAAGCTTCATCCGCCGCTGGAAGAGCTCGGAGCCCACCGGAGCGTCGGTCCGGGAGAATCTCGTGGCACACCAGTCACAACAGCTCGTTAGACATCTGTTTATTCCGTGTGGGGGGATGGACTTGGACCTCCGCCAGCGTGATGTTTTGTCTGCTGTTTGGTTCTGTTGTGGGCACCCCTGTACCGTGGGGAGTGTCCGGGTGGTATGTTTGGACAATATAGGTCGCTTGTGTTAGGTTTCCGGCCTCTCGTTGGCGTGATTGTGTGCTGCTGCATCGACTCACTCCAATATATGCAGTCATCAAGTTAACGGATTCCTGCAAGGTCGGCTTGTAACGTTTGAGGGCTGTAGTTTTAAAAATAAGTTGGGGGGGGGTTGAGGACAGGGAAATGGCTAAACCTGCCCCAAAGTAAACCAGTGCGGATTTCTCGCCAAAGTTGACTCAGTTTCCACTTAAAGTTTTGGGCTGGAGTCGCCTCCTCCTCCCTCACCAACTGGGTAGTAAACTACGCTCCTGGTGACTTCGTAATGCTGTCGTAGCCCCGTTCGATTCGTCGTCAGCACGATTGTCAGCTGAAATGCGTGACGTCATGCGTTCGGGCGGAGCGTTTAACGGGTGGGCTGACGCGGGATTTTTTAACTTTACCCTCCTTTTTCCCTTTACCTCTGGACTACTTTAGACTACTCACTAACTGTGGCTTACCGCCGACCATGACACGCTACCTATAAAGTAGTGTTTGGAAGTGTGGATCCTGCTCTTATAGGACCATCCTCTGTCCCATCCGTGAGTTGAGTGCCTATTCCCATTTCCATCCCATTTCAGTTTCCTTCCTACCCATTTCAAGTGTTCACTCATTTCTGTGTGGAAATGGTATAACGATCCTTCACTGCTACTTGTGCTGGCATGAAGCCTATCCTTTCACCGAACTCCCACTTGGACTGACAAAGCCCATGTTCGAGACCCGTGGTGTTTCGTTTCTGATCTCATTTGTCACGGTTTCCGCAACGACTACTCTTACGATTACCATTAATTTACAAGGGAATGTAACCAAACACCGCACCAATCACTATTACTCACTCTTCCATGGCAGTTGTTGGCAGTTCAGTTCCCTTCTTACATGTCGTGCGTTGCATTCCCCAAAATCAGAGACAAGCGCCCCACCGCACCTAACTTATGCCCCTGGTATTCCCCGACGTAAGAGCTGCCATGCCAACTCCCGCTTCTTTGTCGAAGTGATTTCTTAATCTGGTAGCGCCTTTTCTCCATGCTGACGGGCTGACGAAAAATCCTGGCACCATCGTCAACAGGATGTGACGTCACAGACCATCACGTGACCTTGTGGTCACGTGACGTGACATAGAGAGAAAACTGGACCGTGATTGGTGCTGACAAGTGTGCTGAAGGCAGGTGGAACGCAGCCCATATGACGCCTCGGGGTGTGTTTTTTACGTCCTTCTGATTTCCTTTCTCGGATTTCTTGTGATGTTCGCACTTTCCTTTTAGGGAGCTATTTTCTTTGCCCCTCTCCCCCGCTCATGCCGGTTTATGCGTTGTGTCCAGATGTCCCTCTGGCGTCTATGTGCTAGTTTTGGAGAACTTTTGAATGGCATTTTGGGCTATCCATGCACGGATCCATGTATGACATGTTGGACTATTAATTCCATCCACGCCCTCCATCTGTTGGAGCCTTCTGATGTCCCTGAGCTGTTTCAGGGCGCGCTGCTGACGTCAGCGCCTGCCGTTTCAGGGCGCCGGGGTGCCTGATCTCTGACGTGGCGGCCGAGTCCGTGATGTGGCTAGCTCACCGGCTGGGCCCGGCCCTCACGTCCCGCCACTTGGCGCGCAACCTGCTGCGCATGCTGGCCGTCTGCTACTCGGACCCGGACTCGCTGAAGGTGACCACTCCGCTGGCGAGAAATGGTCCCGGTAGAGGGCACACACTGAAAGTGACCACGTCGCGGACGAGAAATGGTCCCGGTAGAGGGCACACCCTGAAGGTGACCACGCCGCGGACGAGAAACGGTCCCGGTAGAGGGCACACACTGAAGGTGACCACGCCGCGGACGAGAAATGGTCCCGGTAGAGGGCACACACTGAAGGTGACCACGCCCCGGACGAGAAACGGTCCCGGTAGAAGGCACACTCTGAAGGTGACCACGCCACGGACGAGAAATGTTCCCGGCAGAAGGCACACACTGAAGCGGCGATGAGCATTATCGTCGCAGGATGGCATTTCTGATGTTGCGCTGTGTCACAACTGAAGCTGCTGGGACGCAGCTCGGTTCGTATCGACTCAGTGATGTCCATTCGGCTCAGCCGTGTCCACTCAGGCTCAGCCATGTCCACTCAGGCTCAGCCATTTCCACTCCGGTCTAGACATGTTCACTCCGGCTCAGCTATGTCCACCCCGACGCAAACCTGCCCGGCGCTCTGGCATATTGCTTCGACGCAGCCAAGAGTTCTCAGACTTTGCCGTGCACACTCCCACACAGCCGCGCCTACTGTTAGCGGGCTTCGACCAGTTTGGTCCACCAGGGCGTTCTTTCGACAGAGCCGCACTCTGTAGCAGCCATGTCGGAGTGGTAGCATCTATGACACATTAAGTCTCACTCCGATAAAGCTGTCTTCCCTTCAACACCGTCTTTGCCCACTCCACTCCTGTTTAGCTATGCACAATGGACGATCTGTATGTCATGGTAGTCGTCTTTGACCACAGCCTCCGTTCGTCTTCTGTATGAAATATTTGTGAAATCTTCGGAACTTTGGAATGAACCGAACTCCGGCCGTTCCCGGTGTTCGACTTAGGACGCGTAACTTTCCTCGCCTGGTGTGCGCTCACAGTTTGTGTTTTTGTGGAGTTCCGGCCACAATGATGTCCACAGAACCCTTGTTTACGAGTGTTATTTATCTACGTTTATTTTTTGCTCGCTGAAACCCTGCTGCAAGCTGCCGAACCCTTGAAAATCCTGTTACTGCTGAAAGTGCGCTGAATCCATCTGAAACCCTGCTGAAACCGAAGCCCGCTGGTCACCGGCTCGCGCTGCGCGGGGTGCTCAGCTGTTTGCGCGTGTGAAGTCCCGGGCCAACGAACGCGTCTGCAAAGTCTGCCGGGCGTGACCCGCCGCCGCCTCGGCTGCTGGTCGTCTGACGAGGGCGTCCCCTGGGGCCCCCAGCCGGCCCCGGAGCGCCCCCAGGCGGTGTACAGCCGCAGCTTGGCCGGCGACGCCGGCTCGGACAAGGTCCTCCTCTGCCTCTGCAGCATTGCAGGTGGGTGCTCCGTAACGAGCGCGACGTTGCAGGTGGGTGCTCCGTAACGAGCGCGACGTTGCAGGTGGTGATACACGTCCGTAACGAGCGCGACGTTGCAGGTGAGTGCTCCGTAACGAGTGCGACGTTGCAGGTGGGTGCTTCGCAACGAGTGCGGCGTCGCGAGGGCCTGCTTCATACAGTCCGTAACGTCGGAGAAGAATATTATGCACGAACAACGATTGAGTCTTGCCCAGGCGGCCAGTGATCTACATAAGGTGGTGCCCGAGGCGGTCGTGCGGTGACCCTCGAAACGGTATCGCGAATGCCAAGGGACCGTCATGTGGACAGAAAACCTTGCAACGCTGCGAACCACCAAGCTCTGCTCGTGGCGTCAAATTACTATCAATTCTTTAGAAGCGACATATGCCTAGATGTTCGATTCCGCATAATTGGAGGACAACCTTGGACGCGGAGGAGGTGTTTTCCGTGTTCTTTAAAAGATGCGGACCATAGCTAGCCTCGTTTGCACAGCTAGTGAAGGGATGGGACATTTGGAAAAGTGTCTGATCTTAGAAAATCTCTTGATTCGCGGCACGTGTGCAGTACGTGGGCCTCGCAGTGATTACGGGCGGCAGCGTGCGTGTTCGGCATTGGCTGCTTGCTTTAACCTTCGTCCGCGCCTCCAGAGTTGTATGGCGAACAGCTTATCCTGAACCAGTACCTACCGCACGTCACCGAGCTGTGCGGCTCCGCCCTGCGCAAGCTGACGGCGTCGGTGGAGGCGGCGCTGATTGGCGGACTGACGCTGCTGCTGCACGTGCTGCCCTACCTGAGCGACACGCTGCTCATGGACCTGCTGCAGGTAGGAATGCGCGATGTCACGGGTCGGCAGCCGGTCAGTGGTCGGACAGTTGGCTATAAGCAGCTGTTGAGGGGTCTTCGGAATGATCGGGATTGAGATGTTCCCTCGCCAGGAGGCCGTAGGGTGCCGCCGTCTGTTCCCAAGCAGCAGCTGGCGAGAGGCCGTTACTGGCCACGGGTCAGCAGCTGGTAAGAGGCCGATAGCTGGCCACGGGTCGCAAGCTGGGGAGGGAACCGAAAGTTGGCCTCGGTCAGCGCTGGTGAGGGACCGATAGATAACCGGAGGGTCATCAGCTGGTGAGGGGCTGACAGCTGGCCATGGTCATAACTGGTGAGGGGCCAGCAGCTGGCCACGGGTCAGCAACTGGTGAGAACTGACAGCTGGCCTCGGGTTAGCAGCCGGTGAGGGGCCGACAGTTGGCCTCGGGTTAGCAGCCGGTGAGGGGCCGGCAGCTGGCCACGATCAGCAGCTGGTGAGGGGCCAGCAACCGTCCCCGGTCAGCAGCTGGTGAGGGGCCAGCAGCTGGACACGGGTCAGCAGCTGGGGAGATACACGGTACCATCACGCGCAGTGCTACGTGGCGCCTGCGTGGGGACTCAACGCTCGTGGCCGACCGATTTCTTCCCCCCCCCCCCCCCCGCCGCTCCACTTAGTGAATGGCGGGGGTCAATTGTTCTCGCCGAGATGAGGCTGGAGGCTGAATGCAATGCGTTCGTTTTATAGCGTCGTTTGCCGTTTGTTTTTGTTTGTCTGCCTTGTTTGCTTGTTGATGGATGATGAGGTTGTCTTAGGCATGGTAGCGTGAGGTTTCATGCGAATCCCTCCAGCTTGTCGTGTGTGGCTCCTTGTCGTGTGTGGCAGGGTATGTAGCAGCCTGAGCGAATGCCACGGGTGAGGGCCAACCACCAGCTTCATTGGACCCAAACCCGCAGCCTCAAGTTGAGGCAGAGCAGTGCCCTCGATTGGTCGTAAACGTCCGCTTTACCACCAAAACGGAGTGCGTTGAGTGCCGCCGGTGAGACGCGGCGTTGAGTTGAGTGTGTGCTCTGACCTCCAGGAGTCCCTGCTGGCGGGGGTGTTCCGGCCCGTGCTTCAGACGGCCACTGACCCGGATCTGACCTTCCCGTCAGGTGAGCTGACCTTGACCTGGCTTTCCCATTAGGTGGGTATGACCTTACCTCACCGCTTGAGGTGGGCTCGCCTAACTGTCTTACTGTCTTGGGCAAGCTGTCTTAGGGGCTAATCAGCAGGATTACACTGTAGCTGCCGCTGTCAGCCTCTACGCACCTACCGGACACAAAGTCCTGCCTAAGTAGAGTGAAGGACACGTTCCGGACCAAGCTTATTCTAGGTTGTATTTATTGTCATTGCAAGGTAGGTATCAAATGTGCATGCATTGCTATCGCCAAAAAAGAAGTTACGGGTTCTGTGATGAGTTCATTCGATGAAAATACGGATAAAATTTGCCTAGTTGGTATGAGTACAGTTGGCCATGCAAAACCTATGTTTGTATTTTATATATTATATATCATATCTGATGTTTTTCGATTTTATCTTATATAGCATATCTTATATATTATACCTTGTGCCTCATATAATACATCTTATATCTTATGCATTACACCTTATGTCTCATATATTATATCTTTTATCTTATACATTATATATTGTATATTTGTACCATATATCCTACAATAACCTAGTGCACTTCGAAAACTCGGTACAAGCACACTATAGACGTGGGCATGGGTATCCGTTGTGCGCCACCCTCGGTCACAGTATTTTTGCATGGCCCTGAGTCATCGGGCCTGACTAAATGGCATCGCAGCCCAATGTTGGACATGCGGTGCGTCAATGCGTCGAAGGAAGTTTCCTCATGTGGGCCCATGGGATGAAGGCACTGCTGGATGTCTTTGAAAAAAATCACTCAATATCATACCAGAATCTTTCAGTTTCGATCACACGCGCAGAATGTTTACGTTCCCTGCCTCGGCACATCCTGTGTGGTACATCCCGGATGAGATAATATTACAGAGATGTGCCTTAACCCATGCATGCTCCATTACACTCATTTCGGGATATCCCAATGCCTGCGAAGGGATCTTTCCTGATACTACAACTGGCGGAAAGTGGTGCCTTGATCTTTTGATTCCCAGTCGTGTGAGCGTTGTCGAGCCAGAATATTCCTTGGGGTCCGGCAAAACAGATACCTGGCTGACAGAGAACGCTGGTGTTTTGCGGCGTAGATCTAGGTTAATTTCACAAGAAGTCAAAAAGGCGAACAAAGTTTTCTGGTGTCAAACATCCGGCTGTAGATGAAAGATTATTATATAGAGGGGAATCACGCCCGCACAATAGAATGGTTTGCGACGCCGTACATTATCGTTGATTTCTGGTCATAATTGAACGCTTGTTCGGGATCGATTAGTGCTGGCGATCCTAGCAAATTCTGAAGATAGAAATTCTGATACAGGCGTTAATGGGCCGGAGGGGCAACGCAAGGCGGAATAACGCGGTATGCATTTTGCCGTGCCCTCTGGCCGGGAAAAGGTTTTTGTGGAAGAAAGAAAACGTAACATCCGAGATCATTCTAGTGAATGCCTGGGATCGCATGTTCACGGAGAGCGTGTACAACACCAGCCGGAGCTCGTGGTGGACAGACCCAAAAATGGGGCGCTGCGAAACACACCTTCAAAGTAGGAAGCTTAACGCCATCGCCAAACAACGTGGGTCTGAAAAGTTTTAGCGTACCGACTACATTAACCGTGAGCCTCGAATCCACGAGCTACAACGTTCATACCATTTAATGGAATCTTGACTATAACGGTTTGTCTCGTATCTGTCCGACAGAAGTCAGAGGGTTGTCGTCAACGGAAAACTTCCGATTGGAAACTGTTGACCTCCGGCGTCCCGGAAGGATCCTCTGGTCTCCCCTCCTTTTTTCACATGTTTTATAAGCGACCTTCCCTGTGTCATTAAACCCGGCTGTCTTTTGTATGCTGGTGACGTAAAAATTTCCCGTAGAATTACGCCCCCGGCTGCTGCCGCGCTGCCGCAGAATGATCTCGATCGTCTGACAGCGCGTTCTGTCGGTGGAGGCTAACCCTCAACCCTGTAGAATGTGTGAACGTTCGCGATGACCCTCAGGCGTGCTCCCGCCCAGGTTCATATCTGTTAGTTGATGAAACTGAGCTTGAACATGTGTGCAAAATTGGGGACCTGGCGTAACGCTGGATACTAAAGTAACTTTCGCGTCATATGTTTCTGACACAGTCAGTGGGGACAATCGAGCACTTCATCGGCTGCGTATTTTACAAACGTGCGATCGGTTTTAGAATGTTGTAGCGTGGTCGGGACGGGGTGGCTAATTCCCACTCAGTGCGGGTCGATTGCATGCAGCACAAGTTTATCATTTGGATGCTTGCTCATGGATTCCCCGGGTGAACGTTTTTCTCTGTCATGACATCCTTCCGCTTCATTTTTAAATCCCATTCCTAACAGCGCGAGGAGTGCGATTTAGGTTTTCTGAGAAACATCTTTCAAGGTAAACTAAACTCTTAAATATCGCCTACCTGTTTCCCTTTGCTTGTGCCGCCTCGATCGACCCGCACCTGAATTCTGCTCGCTGTACCTCGCACTCGTGTGCAGACAGCTTAGAGCGGTCTGTTTTTTTTTAAGACTGCCAGACGTCCAGGAACATTTTTAGCTAGCAACATTAGCGCGGATATTTTCACGACTGTTTTGGCACTTTTAGAGCCGAAGGGATCAAGTATGAATACCATTGTAGCATCTTCACTCAGCTTTCATATGCCATCCTTAAATTTTATACACTACTGTATGCTTTGTATTTATTGTATTTTAGTTAAACGGCCTCGCCTCTCAGTGCAGTGCTGCTCAAACATATAAACGAGTAAATTGGTTTTGTACCGTTTTACCTGGTTGGTCGCGTATAACTCTTTAGGTGATTGGTCATGCAACTTAACCCGATAACGTTCACACGTCGATGTGACAGCTGAATCCGTGGTGTGACAGCTGATGACGTCCACGAACGATCTTCTGATTGGTCCATTTTGCATTAGGCGCGGCCGGCCGAGCCGCCGTCTGTTATCGCTGGCTCAGTCTGGTTGTCATGGTTACGCACCGCATCGGCCTGGAGATGTCGCTGCGCCAGCTGGGTGACGTCACCAGTCAGCTGGCGGCTACGTTTGGCCGCCTTTTCAAAAGGTCAGTCCGTCAAGTTAATGTACGTACAGGAACGAATGCGAGGGTTCTTGGTTAGCTTCCCTCAAGGGGCGTGCAGCGTATTAACAAGAGTCATTGCGGGGAGATGCAGACTGTTTCTCGGCGATGGGGTGTCCTTGGTGGACCTGTGTCCAAGGTGCACGTAAGGGTGATGGCAGCCTGCTAGCAAATAGTTACATTGTCAAAAGGGCACTGTCTGGCATGGGGGGATTGGTGTCATGTACCATTGCGTAGGGCTGTGCTAGTTGGCACTAAGTGGGCGGAAACAGTCGACTCACAATGAGCACACGCACTGATGTAAGGGCGTCGGGTACCTCTGCGCTGCGCTGCGCTGTATTTCTTTGTGCTACTTTGTCTCATTTTTTTGTACTTCTGAATGGCTCCAGACGAGGTTGCGTGCACGCTGACTGGCTGTAAGCGTGTTTGCCTCCCAGTGATACGGCCACGTCTCCTCTGATCGGCCATGTTTGCGGCTCTGTCTTCGCTAAAATCGCTGTTCCCCAGTTCCCTCTTCCTGTACGTACTACTGCCTCTTCGCTGACTGGCCGTATGTTCGACTGCCGCAGGGCGGAAAGTCCTTGCGACCCGGCCAGTAGCGGCCGACAGTGACGTCACGCGGCGCGCCCGAGCCGAGTTGGTCCAGGTGAGCTTACCTGACGATGTCACTGGAAGGTGGCGCCACCGCTGGAGCCGGCCGGCTGCCGCTGGGAAAATCAGTGCCGGGAGTTTAGTGAATCGGCAGCGAACAGGGGGGGGGGGGGGGGGGGGGAGGGACTGTTATTAGGGGCCGTGACGGCTATGATCGTGTCATAGGATATCATCTAGATACGTGTGTTTGTGAGGTGTCTGCGTGGGTGAGGGGGATGATCAATAGCACGTGCCTGGGTAAGCTGATGCTTGACGGTCCAGAACGTTTCTTAGACGAAGATCAGAATGGTGCGGCTTAGCGATGTCAAATGTTGTCTAGCTGTGGCATAATTAAAAATCCTGTTTTTATACAATAAGATGTGCCTCTGCAGGCTGCTAAAACTGCAGTAGGTTAAAGTCCACCCCGTTATTGTCAGTGAAGGCAGTTTAATGGCAGCTTTCAGGCTGGTGCGACAGTGGAGTGCTAGACGAAATCATGCAACTTCGAGATGGTGTACTGACATTAGACAGTGTGAATTGTGGTTGCAAGTAACTTCATTGATCTAAGATCAGGTTTAAAGGTCAGATCAAGGTGGAAGCAAAAAGCTTGTTCAGTGGATGATTTGATTTATGGGGTGTTTTTTGCGTGCATTTCTAATTATTTATCACTGTTACGTCAACATATACATAAGTTTGACTTCCGTGAAGGTTACGGGGGGTCACTGACCCGAAAAAAAATATTGACCAACGTTTTGGTGTGAGGAAGATGGCGCCCATGGTTCTTCTTCTTCGTCCTGATTTCAAATTCAAATATAAAACTATGTTGAAGGAATTTGGTTAGTTTAATCTTCTGAAAGCCAGGACAGGTCAGTGATTGGATATGGCCTGACAGAAACTTTAGTTTGAAGAGGTATGTCAAAACGAGTTATATGAGGTCATTAAGCACTGTAGACATCGATCTCAGTTGGACCTTATTTCATCTTATGTATTCCGAAGGTCATAACCCATAGACTTGAACATCTGATTCATATTTGTCCATAAAGAGAGCTACCTACCCAGTGAATTTGGTATCTCAGGCTCGTTTAGTTCTTTAAATCTGAAGGCGGCTAGTAAGCGGGAGATTTTCTCCACACCCGCCTGAAGGCATCCTATTCAACCGGCCACCCAGCCTCGTGTTAAAATTCTGAATGTTGACGATTTACTCAACTACAAACCGCTGGCTGTCGCTTAATTTAACACGGGCCTATTTCGGGGCCTTCGTTAGGGTAATCAGCATTAGTACGGAGGCTTCAGAGTGAAGGCTTGAAATTACAGTGTTATAATTTGACATCAAATAGGTAATTGTGGTATGCGATCTACGTTAGGACCATTTCATGCAGATGTTTTATGTTGTACCCAACTCCTGCACTTGCATGGACTACCAATGGGAACTCGTCGGCGTTGTGCAGGTTTTCACGCCGGCCCTGGCTCACGCCGTCTACGTGCCGCTCTGCCATCTCTTGGAGGCACTGTGCACTGCAGCTTCGTCCGAAGACATTGAACTGATTCGCGACCTCTGCGTTCTCCACCGCCAGAGGGCAGTCACCTGTGAGTCGCCAGTCTCGGCCAATACGAGCAGCTCCAATTGTTTTCGGTTTGCTTCTTTGTCAAACATTTCACGTTAACCGTGCATTTTCTGGTTTTGCTGATATTTAGCAATGTGACGTTTAAGTCCAGGTCGGGTTGTGTGCGGTGTAGGCTGCCGGTACGTCTCAACCATCGTCACCTGCCGGACCGCTGGTAAACTGCGTTTTCCGGCAGTGCCGCGGGATGTCACCAGTGGCCCAAACGCCAGTTTGCCGATGGCCGGTAGTACGGGGTCCGGGTCAGGCCGGGACGGCACCGCCGCCGCCACCGCCAGTGGGGGCGGCGCCGGCGGCGCTGGCGGTGCCGGGTTGGCTCCACAGCTCCGGCCATCGGCAACAGAATCTACGTACAGGTGCGACCAAAGGCGGCTCCGGCTGGGACGGCAGCGGCTTCTGCGCCGTTTTGCTGATGTGTGGCGACGTTGTTCCGTGTAAAGGCCGACTGAATTCGACTTTCGGCTCGGGTGTAGGCTGCTTCTTTGCGGTCGTTGCGAGTGCCGATGGCGCTGTTGACAAGGACAATTGGGTGCTGAAATGTCGGCCATGTCACTGAAGCGAGCTGAGACGCGGCGCGTAAAAGCATGTCAAGTACCGCACCTAACTGACAGGCAAGAAAAGAAAAGTGGCGTAATGACTTTCGCAAAGCATGCGAAATTCCAAGTTGTGTTTGTAGCCGATTTACCGCTGTTGTTCTTACAAACACACAACCAAGCCGGGGTTTCGGAGTATCTACATCTTTATCACGGTGCTTGTACGTATCGCTGCAAATGTTTGTGCCCACGCCGCCCTACCGCGGGCTGACGCGCTGGCCGTGTGGCGTCCTGTGACGTCACCAGACCGAGGGCCCGGCGGCGGCGGCTCCGGCGGCGGCGGCGACCGTCGGCGCCGCGCTCGACGACACCTGGCAGCGCCACATCTACAAGGAGATGAACAACGGCAGTCGGTGAGCGCGCGGGCGGCGGCCGCGCTGAGTGGAGACACGTGCGCGGTGACGCGAGGGAGGTCGGGGTGGGTCTCTGACATGGGACTGGCCCGGAGTAGAGTGCGGACAGAGGTGCGCGGGACGGGGCGGGGCGGGACGGGGACGGGGACGAGGGACGGGGACGGGGACGGGGACGGGGACGGGGACGGGGACGGGGACGGGGGGACGGGGACGGAACGGGACGGGCGGGACGAGCACGGGCATCGGCATGTACGTCGCAGACTCCAGCACACGAGGAAAACTTCGAAGCGTTTGGAGCCAACGCCTTCACAGGATGCAGACATTCACGCGAACAGACAGCAACACTCGGTGTGTTGCCAAGTACACGGAGTAAAGAGTCGCGCAAGGGGCAGGTTGTAGCACTGTGGGCAAACACTTGTACAAAAGGAAGAGGGCAGTGTACAGGCCAGACAGTGGTATGGCCTTCAATAAGCTGTGTCCCCGCTCTATGCATTTTCTCTGCATATGCCACGATGTTGAGTCTAGTATGGGAGAAGGTAGCCGCATATGTGGTCTTCACTGTGCCGTTCACTGTGCCTTCACTCTGCCGTTCGTCTATTACTGTGCCGTTCGGCATGGGAGCGTTCCACTTTCGAGAAAACGAATGCGACACCTGTTGTCTTCAAGTCGTCCATGCATCTGCAGCGATCACGGCAGTCCCGCCAGCGCTCGGACACCACGGCGCACTCGGGTTCAATCCGTGACCAGCGCGCGGGGGTGCTCAGCCCACACCATGCGACACCACTCTCCGCAGACTCCCGGAGCGGAAGTCGCTGACAGTCGCCGCGTGCCACGCGGTGTTGCAGGCACCTGCGCGGCGCCTGGCAGGCGTACTGGCTTAACGAGCTGGCGCAGGTGGACGCGCACCTCAACCCCAAGCAGATCCGCGTCCAGGGCTTCGACGGCCACAGCGGCGCCGTGCGCGAGATGCACGTGCTCGACAACGAGAACAGCTTCGTGTCGGCCAGCCGCGACAAGACGGTCAAGCTCTGGTCTATCCGCAGCCAGGTGAGTGGCTCTGTGGACTGTCTGGAGCTGTAGACAACTGTGGATTGTCCGGAACTGTGGACAGCTAGGGACTGTCTGGAGCTGTAGACAACTGTGGATTGTCCGGAACTGTGGATAGCTGTGGACTGCTCGGAGCTGTGGGCTGTCCGGAGCTGTGGACTGTCCGGAGCTGTGGACTGTCCGGAGCCGTGCACAGCTGTGGATTGTCCGGAGCTGTGGACAGCTGTGGACTGCTCGGAGCTGTGGGCTGTCCGGAGCCGTGCACAGCTGTGGACTGTCCGGAGCTGTGGACAACTGTGGACTGTCCGGAGCTGTGGACAGCTGTGGACTGTCTGCAGCCCGGTGCGTCCGGCCCTGGTCCCGGTGCGGAGCCAGGTGCGAGAGGTGCCGGTCTGCGAGGAGTCGGGCGCGAGAGGTCGGGGTCAGTGGGGCCAGTGGCGAACGGCACGGGACTGTCTGTGTGGTGCATGGCCTGTCTTGACAATGACGTTAACACAGGTCGCCAGGGCTGCTTGTATATTCGTGCGCAAGGTGAGGGATAACAGAGGCCGCTTATGTACATGATTGTATAGAATGGGACAACGTATGAATGCTTAAGGGGTTTGTGTTGCCATCAAAGAACCTTGGGAGCTCATCGGTTACCTATTACCTCACTAGCTATGCATCGAAACCAAAGCTGCAGGCCAGCGGGGTCTTTAAACAGCTTATTTCTATTACTCCCATGTGGCCTTGAGTCATAAACAAAGCAAACCTGCTAGCACTTTCCTTCCGAAGGAATCAAGCGCCACGATACAAGCCGAGGCTGCCGAAAAATAGGTGATCGCCTTCCTCGATCTCCAATTTCCCGCGGTGGCATCCGCCACCTCTTCCACCAGGGGGACGGCAGCCAGCGCTCGACACCCCAATGGACGTACAGCCAGCACCGGCGGCCGGTGCTGGGCGCCACCTACCTGCCGGCCCGGCAGCGGGTGGCCTCGTGCGACCCCCAGACGCTGCACCTCTGGGACCCGTTCATCGGCGCTGCTGACGCTCAGGTCGAGCTGGGCAGCATCAGCGTGAGTGGCGGGGTTCCGACTGGGGGCGGCCGCTCTCGCGTGGGTGGGGCCGCTCGGTCTGGTGAGGCGGGTCCCTCTTTCGAGCGGTGGCGGCCGCTCGGTCTAGCGAGGCCGTTCCTTCTTTCCGAGTGAGGGCGGTCCTCTCACTCGGACGCAGACCGCCCTCGCCGTTCAGTGAAGGTGCCTCTCCGGCGGGTGGAGCTGATCTCTCACCCTCGAGGGGAAGTAACCCTCACCGCCGGGTGAGCGCCGGCATCGGCCGGTGGCGGCGCGGCGCCTGGGGAACTGCAGAGGGGCTCTGTCCTCGCGTATGAGCGTCCGAAGCGGACTCTTACGTGTTCCGCGACGCTGAAGTGGCGGCACCTATTAACGGAACAGTGCAGCAGTAGTTGGATTTGCGGGGAGATGGGCGGGGGGAATGTTTCGGCTCGGCGCGAGCATCAGTGCCGGAGCATTGCGTTGCAGTGTGTTGGTGCGACAACAGGTGGCGTAAGCCTGCGGTTTGTTGTCATTGGTGCTACACATGCGCCGGTTCTGCCTGCTCCTTATGTTCTCGTCATCCCGTCGAATGCGGAGTAGCTCATCCCCTCAACATTTGTGTCGCTGCGCTCCTGAGCCACTTGAGATGAAACTCAAATGCTCCGGCGTTTCACGCACAGCAAACTACGTTTGTGGCTTTCATCCGCCCGACTTGTCACCGCTGGCTGGCTCAGTGGCGTCCGTGAAGGTGTTCTGTCACCGTCACGACTTTCCCACAGTCGAGTACCTCCCGTAAGCCATCAGGTGTGCGTGTTTCACTTGTCGCCCTCTAACCACGGCCGCCGCTGCCGCCGTCGTTGTGCGGCAGGTCATGGCTGCGGTTCCGGCGCCGTGCCCGTACCTGTTCTGTGGATCCAGCGAGCCCAGCCTGCGGCTGGTGGACACGCGCATCGGTGCTGCTGTCTGCACCTGGAAGGTGAGCCTGGCCGGTCGTCTGCCCTTGCCGACGTCGCGGCAGCGCCGGCCCTGTGTCTGGGTCCGGGTACCGCCTCTGGCACAGGTCCGTGGGTACCACCTCTGACGCAGGTCCCCGCTTACCGCCTCTGGCACAGGTCCCCTGGTACCTCCTTTGGCGCAGGTTCGCGGGTACCGCCTCTGGCACAGGTCCCCGGGTACCGACTCTTGCACAGGTCCCCTGGTACCTTCTCTGGTGCAGGTCTTCGGGTACCGTCTCTGGCGCATGTCCCCGGGTACCTCCTCTGGCACAGGTCCCCTGCGCTGTCCCTAGTCCCTGCCCCGGGGTGTCATGATTGGTGCCATCCCTGACGTCGCCAAGGGACCCGCTCGTCGGACGCCCCCCGGCGCACAGTGGTCCCGGTCGTTGACGCCATGCCGGGACCTGGCTCCCCTGCGACTCCCGGACCCGCCCGCTCAGGTCGCCGCGGGCAAAGCCTTGCGTTCGAAGTCGCGGGCGCTGTGACCGCGCCTGTGATACCGCGCTGTGTCGTGTTTGGGGGGATGAGACCGTCTCGTGCGCGTCGGGGCGGGACCGCGTGGGACGTGGCAGGGCCCGGCTGCATTTCGCACGGGCGAGCGTCCCTTGAGAAAGGAACTGCGCTGTGTCCTCTGCGACGGGCTGACGCGTGACGTCATCGACCCGTGAACATGATGTGTCCGCACGTGTCGACCGTGACGACCCCAGACTTCCGGCCGCCGCCGTGGGCGTGAGGCGACATCAATGGCCGTCGGTCGCAGCCACGCGCCTCCGCCCAGGCGGTGCCAGTCCCGCTCACTCCCAGCCCTGTCCGACAGACGGCGTCACCGTCGGCCGGCCAGGTCCGCTGTTTGGCCGTGGCGCCCGGCGGCCGCTGGCTGGCCGTCGGCCACTCGCAGGGCGCCCTCGCCGTGCTCGATCTACGTACCGGTACGGTGCGTGCCGCCTGGAAGGCTCACGAGGCTGAGGTGAGGCTGGCAGCATCGGTCGGGGGGGGGGGGTTGATGGGGGGTCGACATGCGGGTGTGGTCGCGATCGCGTGGGCCTGATTGAGGGGGATGCCACCTTTGTTGGCGTTGGAGCACCGTGGCTGTTTGATCTTCGCTTCACATCGACATTGGTAGCAGCATTGACTAATGAAAGTGCTGCTCTGGCTTGCTCGTTTCTCCGCATGACGCCACACGGCGGATGCTGCATTTTTCTGATGTTCGGAGGACAGCTGCCTGTTCTGACCCGTCACCTACTGGTGCCTATTTTGCCGCATGGTTCATAGAACGCGTTGATGAGTCCACGAGTCGTGACCACGACGGGTAGTCTGATACAGAAGCCGTCGCTTGTCTTCACGTCGCACGACGTAACCACGGCTCGGTTCCCTCCGCTGCTCCGTGTCTCCGTCTTATTGTTGATCCTCCTATCATGACATCGCGGTGGTTGTGTAACGAGGCGGTCCGCAGCCACCGCCGCTTGTTCCATAGCACACGCCGGCATGACGTCGTGAAGCCACTAACCACCGTGGTGTCGCCTCTCCCGTGACGCCATCGCATGCCGTGATGACGTCACCCGTTGTGACGTCGCCACTCGTCTCGACGTCATCCCTCTCATGGCGTCACTGCCCCCGTGATTACGTCACCCGTCGTGACGTCGCCCGTCCCGTGACGTCAACCCTTCCCGGTGACGTCACCCCGCCCGTGACGCGCGTGTCGTACTCGTGCGGCAGGTGCGGCAGGTGGCGGCGCTCGATGACGCCAGCCTGGTGACGTGTTCGGTGGAGCCGAGCCTGACTGTCTGGGAGACCGCCGACGGCGCGGCACGTACCACGCTCCGGTGAGAGCGCCGCCAATGGGCCGCCCTCCCGCCGTCCTGCTCGCCTGCCGCCGCTCCAGCTGGCTGTGCGGCCGATGTGTGATATGTGACGTCACGTGTGCGACATCCGAGGTCTGATATTCACCGACAAAATTCCGCAACAACGTTTTAGCAATTTGTCACCGACGTTATTTGTGCTGTGCATTGCATTCATGCTGTAACGTTTTGCTTCTAACGTAGTATGGTGCGGATGTCCGCTCTGCCTGGGCGCATGCTTCCCCTGACTCTCTCTCCCCGGCGCGCGTCATCCTCATCCCTCCTCGCACCTCCGCCGCCTCACACCTCTCTCACCGCGCCGCCAGCGGACTGAGCGAGCCGGCCAGCTTCGTCCTGGTGGACGCCGGCGACGTCATCACCGGCACCTCCACCAACCGGCTGGCCGTCTGCAGCGGCAGCGAGCCGGGCGCCGTCTTCTCCTCCACCAAGCTGAAGCCCGAGTGCTTCAAAGGTGGGCACGGGCGCCGCGGGGAGGGGGGCGCTGCGGTGGGGGCAGGCTGGACCGGGCGGTGTGCGGCCGAGAGACCCGCGTTACGGTGGAGAGTGGTCTGTGGGGGCAGAGTGACCGGTCGGTCGTGTCCAGAGGAGGGATGCTGGTCAGACAGAATCGGAGCATGTGGCTCTGCAGCTTGCTTCATGTGCGGTTATCTCGCTTGTTTGATATCGACTTGTAACGCGAAAACTCTTGATCGCATGCCCTGGCAGCTCTCTGGCGCACTGTTTGCGGTCCTTCGTGGCTTCTCATTGCACTTCCTTTGCAACTGCAGTCGAAGCATGCACTCCCACTAAGCTGTCGTGCTTGCATCCATTTGCGTCTGCGAGTGCAGTACGTCGTAAACGTGTTCATCACGAGTGCACGCATCCATTCGCTGTGGCTCTCGCACCTGAAGCGAATCCTATGAAATGGTCGCCTTGCCGTGGAGCCGTCTGTTCCTCCCTCACGCGAGAGGCGTGAGGGACATGTCATTGTGTCATTGACGTGTCACTTCACGTCCGCCTGTGACGCTTCTCTGCCGCACTTTTCCCACTTGGCTGTCGTTTCTTGATCGCTAAAACGCGCGCTTGCTTATATCCGGCGTTGAGTGGTGTGCTTTCTGTTTTATCGACAAACCCGTTTTTCTAGAATGGTCGGTCTGTGCGCAGACGCACCGTACATAGCTAAGGCAAAGGTAATCACCAACACGTGTGCAGCTTACCGAAAGAGAGCCAAGCCGCGTGTCCGGGAAGATCAGTCGTCCCGGCGGCGCTGGTGTCTCTCCTGGCGTGGGGGTGTGCGGCGCACGCGCTGACGCTGATTGGCCGGATCGGCAGGCGTGCTCTCCTCGATGGCCCTACTGAGCGCCAATCGGCTGCTGCTGCTGGGGTCGGACCAGGGTTCCATACGGCTCATCTACTGAGGAGCGACTGAAGACCGCCTGGAGACGTGGCCGTCAAGAGCGGCGAGGCAGCAGCGCGTGCGCACGGACTGCAGAGCGTGCATTGACTGAGGACGGCCCATTCACTGGGACGGGTCAGACCAACGCCTTTAAGCTGGGAAAGGGTTAAAGAGATGCGGGCTGGCCCGCCCCGCCTCACTGTAATGGTCACCGTTACGAGCCCCGCCCCCTCCCCCTCCCTCCCCCCCACACACACGGCACGAGCTTGCAGCCCTTTCACCGGGCTGCAAAGTTGGTATTTCATCCTCGTGATGGAACGTGATTAAGTGCGGGAAATGCGAGTAACTGGTGACGCACTTGCTCCACCGCCTACTGTGGAAATTGGTAGGCGGTGTCGCTTTCCTACGTCCGCAATGCTCTTTCCCTGTATTTACTGGTAGACCAAGATTTCAGGAGGTCAATGGCCGGCTCATTCCGGTCACAAGTTCGCTGGGGGTTTGCCAGAGCATTGGGTTAGCGTCACGTTACGGTAGTTGTGGGTGAGGCACGTCACGTTTGCTGAGAGCGGGGTCATTTCTATAGCCTGTCATTTTCCATTCAAATAAGAGATTCACGAGCACGGGACCTGCACGAATTTTTGTGTTTTGGTTAGCTTATGAACGCTTAAGAAGCCATGTTGGCGAAGTTGGGATTTCCACCGTGAGGAGCTGTTTCATCCCATGTCAGCGCTGTAGGGGCCGCGATGAGATCGTAGTCGGACCCAGTGACGTCAGTGTGCTAGTGACGTGCTGTCGCAGCGTGTGTACCGGTTTGTTAGATCGTTGCTTCTCTCCGTCGGTGTTTTCTTTTAGCATCAACAGCGCTCACTGATGTACTGTTTATTGTTGGCTGCTACTTGTGCGATGCATAGAAGGCGGACGAGTTTTGAGCCATTCCGCTTTCATTGTTTTAGCGATAGCATTTTAACACGATGTGGTGGAAAATGCTACCCCGTTCGTTTCTCACACTATTGCGTTCTCTTCACACCAAAGACGCTCATGTATGCATTTAATGTCATGTGGTGGGTTCCGGGTTTGCCAGTTTCGATGTGGTGGATGACGGTTAATTGGTGTGGTCACCAGGTGCGCAGGACGACATTTTCTCTGGGCGGAAATGACGTCATTCGTTTTCGAAAAATGTACTTACTTTGAGCCGTGGCGTTTCCCGGGTGAATAAACTGTTCGGCGTACCCTTATTCCCATGATCAGTGGAGAAACAACAGCGAGTGATGCATCCGGGCGTCCCGATAATTCTGACAGTTATGGTCAGCTAGTGGAGAGACTGCAGAAACAGCCTTATCAACTTAAGGATCAACTGTGGAGTGTTGAGTCATGATAGAATCGTTAGAATCAGGGGTTTTGAACGTATTTTGTCAGATGAACCTGAGCTGAGTCAAGCGAAGTCGGTGGGACGACTCATATGGAATTTGAAACAACGTAGTCTATAAAAGTGTGCTGCCAAAGGGTTTACATGTGCCCCAAATGCAACAAAGTGGCCTATAGGCCTTGTAAAAATAAAGGCCCTGCGTTGGCTGTTACGAACTCCAACGCCAGCCTTCTCCTGAACAGGCACTATCGAAATATGTTCCGGAATAAATCCATACCTGCTTGAGGATCGACTTGAGTCGGAATCATAGTGGACTCGTGGTTGCACCGTGCCGTCGTACCTCAGTCCTTATCACCCCTCGTGAGCTGAGTCATATTCTACTTCGCTGAAGCGGAATCCAGCCAGACCTGCTGCTGGCAACTCCAATACCGTGGTATCTACAAATATGGCCGCAGCTCGGTCAATGTAAATGCAAGTTATGTGAATTTTAGCTCTCGTGATTTTCATAAGAAGCCTGTGGCATGCCTGATCTTTGGCGTCCATGTACCGTCTGGACTATTTCACGGCTAATTTAACAGTCGCGCTCACTCGCACTGCAAATTACCGAGCCAATCGCGGCGAGCTATGTCTGTAACGCGGCGAGAAGTAAATTTCGAGTAATGGCCCACGTGCCTGCAAGCACACATTGCCTGGCAACGAATAATGGACTGCACCCCTCAGGACTTAGAAAATCGTGTTCCATACGTAGTGCAGGTATCAAGAGCTTGCGCGTTGTCAAACCTGCCCGGACTACACTCTGTGAAGCTCAGGCTCTGAGTCTTCACAAACACCATGCACGCATTACGTAGATATCGAATAGCATTTCGTAGATATCATGCATGCGTTACGTAGATATCGAATAGCCATTTTGACTGCGAGCACTGGAGCAGCGCGGCCGGCCGCCACCAAAGGTCGACACTTGACGATGCCGCTGGCTCCCAGGGTCAGGTGCTTGCCTGATGATCGCTTCTGACAGACCGGGCCCCCAATAATAACACGGCATTCGCATTCCCTCACCGCACGTTTGCACAATGCTCGTGCTACAGCAAG